AGACACACACACACTCACACACACACAGACACACAGACAGACAGACACACACAGACACACACAGACACACACACACACACAGACACACACACAGACACACACACACACACACACACACACACACACACACACACACACACAGACAGACAGACAGACAGACAGACAGACACACACACAGACACACACACACAGACACAGACACACACACACACACACACACACAGACACACACACACACAGACACAGACACACACACCCAGCCTGGTGCTCTCAGATCTTTATCTGATCTGGATCATAAAGTTCGGCTGCTGATGGGAGAGGTATGTGAAATATTTGAGTCTCTGCTGGTGAAGAACTTTCAGACCAAACCTGAGCCGAAGAACGGGCAGAGACTCGGATCATGTCTGTTCATGAAGACAGAATGTCCGCTTCGCCACCGTGTCAGGTGGATCCAGGGCCGGTCCCGGGTCGGTGTAACTGGACCTGACGAGGACCGACTCCGCTGGAGGACGACAGTTTTTATTTAAACACATCCAGTTCCTGACAGAACGCTAGTGTTGGCGGCCATGTTTGACGATGAAGAGTCTGATGAAGAGTGTTTCATTTAAATCTGTTCACAGGTAGACCGGTGACATCATCGCTCCGCCTTCGATTCTTCCCACCTTTAAATCCTCGTGAGTTCTGCTCCGTGTTTCAAGTTCAGTCGGACTTCCTGTCAGCTGACTCATACAGGTGTGATATTTGCTCAGGTGGGTGTCGCTGCAGAGTTCTTTAAGACCTGTCCCTCTCCCGTCGTGTCCTCAGTCTCTGTCTGTCTGTCCGGACAGGTGCTGCCGACAACATGGCCACCAACGGGACTCCTCAGGGCTGCGGCGCCCACCTGGACTCGCTCTACTACGACCTGTGTGACCTGAGCGCAGCGTGGGGCGTGGTGCTGGAGGCCCTGGCTGCCGCCGGACTCGTCTTCTGCTTCGTGCTCTTCGTCTCGCTGCTGGCCAGCCTGCCGTTCGTCCAACACCCGAACCACAGGAGCGCCGTGCCGGTCCAGGCCAGCTTCCTGTTCTGCACGGCGGGCCTCTTCGGCCTGACGTTCGCCTTCATCGTGGGGAAGGACTTCGCCACCTGCGCCTCGCGGCGCTTCCTCTTCGGGGTTCTGTTCGCCGGCTGCTTCTCCTGCCTCCTGGCGCAGTGCGTGAGGCTCAACGTCCTGGTGAGGAGGAACTGCAGCCCGCGGGCCGGGGTCCTCTTCGTGGGCGCGGTGGGGCTGTGGCTGGTGGAGGTGCTCATCAACACCGAGTGGTTGATCATCACAGTCGTGCGTCACCCGCTGGGACCGCTCAACGCCACGGCGGAACCCGTCAGAGCCACGGCCACGCCCTGCAACATCGCCAACCAGGACTTCGTCATGGCGCTGATCTACGTGATGGTCCTGATCCTCGCCGTGGTCCTGGGGAGTCTGACCGTCATGGGGGGCAAGTTCTCTGAGTGGAAAACTGAAGGCGCTCTGATACTCGTGACCGGTGTTCTCTCCGTGGCCGTCTGGGTGGCGTGGATCGTCATGTACGTGTACGGGAACGAGCGGACGGGGGGCCCGAGGTGGGACGACCCCACGCTGGCCATCGCCCTGGTGGCGAACGCCTGGGTGTTCATCTTCTTCTACACCATCCCTCACATCTGCTGCTTGAACAGTGACGAGGAGGAGGAGCAGCGCGGGGGGGACAACTCGCACGGCACCCAGGGAGTCGGCTACGAGACGATCCTGAAGGAGCGCGGCGCTCAGAGGATGTTCATGGAAAACAAGGCCTTCTCCCTGGACGAGCCCAGCAACGGTACGTAGACCTCCGAGCTTCTTCTGAGCAGAACGTCCTCCGAGTCAGAGTTTCAACTCCGTTCTGTTCGTTTAAACACGAAGCGCTCTCATGCGACCCGCAGAGTTTAACAACTAACGTTTAAAACCAGCAGCGCTTCCTCCAGCATCACTAACAACCTAAAGAGTTGTAGTGAACGTTTTTACTCTTTGATCTGTCGACACAAACCTGCTGCTCGTTTTCTGATGTCACGACTTCCTGTTTGTGTTTACACTTCGGTCCAACACCACGAGTGTTTTTATCACCGCTCCACCGAAGTCCTTTTCCCAATAAACGAGTGTTCTGGTTGAAATCTTCTCAGGAAGAGCTGCTGCAAATGACCGTAAAACCACAGCCGAACCATCCAGAGCAGGCCTGTTCAAGTAGCGGCCCATGGGCCATGTTCGGCCCCAGTTCTCTCAAAGAAGCCCAAAGTGATGTACTAAAAATAAAATGAATCAGAACTGGCTCCACACCTGGAGCTCCATGTCGGGCGAGGAAACTTCTGCCTCTGACACTTTAAGTCAAATCAGGTTTTTTTCTGCAAGTTTTCCAGAAGAATCACAAGAATGAGACGATAAAGCTGTAAACAAAAAAAAAACAGCTTTGTGCCGTTTGTCCTTGTTGATGAGAACGTTCTAGTTTCTTTCCCGTAGTCCTCAGTTTTTATTTGATCCGAGCGGTTCTTGGACTTTAGTCTTGCTCCTACTTGAGCTTTCCGTCAACGTGCTCATGGGTCGAGTCAGATTCAAACTTTGTTTCTGCAGCTGCTGGACACAGAACGAAACACCAAAGACGAACACGAGTCACAGAGTTCACGACGGCAAATAAATCACAACGTTCCTGCGACTGATCTTCAAATTGATTTGTCTCACTTAAATCAAAGTGTCTTAATTACGTCTCTATTTTGTCTCCAGTCACTTTCGATGTGGAGACTGAACGGTTTGTAGCGGCTGCAGTCCAGCGAGGTTGAGATGTTAAACGTTCGTGACCTTTTCCACAGACTTTGAAAAGATCTGAACTGTTCCTTTAAATGTCTAAATTTACACCTGATCTGTTTCAGTTCAAATAAAACGTTGGTTCAACTACTGAGCGAGAGCCTTGAGAGAAGGACCTCAGGCCGGTCCCTTTAAACCCAGAACAGCATCAGATAAACCTGTCGACTTCAGGAAACTTCACTTTTAAACACTTGAATGAAACAAAATAGACATTTGTCACTTCACAGGAAAATTAGCAGCGAAGAGAAAAATAAAAAAGTGCACGTAAAGAAGGAAAACGGCTCCTAACCGGATTAGAAACAACCTTCTATTATTGTTTGTGATGTGATCACCGTTATCTGCAGATGTTCAGGCTGGTCTTATCTCGAGGGAACACAGCTCTCTGTGGAGCAGAAAGGAGCGGTTCTCGCGCTGCGCCCAGCTTTATGGTTCGTATCGCTGATCTGACACCTGGACACGAGGAGCGACCACTGATCGTGCCGTAACGACATCGTCAGCCTGTTGGCTGCAACATGATGCCGTTACTGCAAGAAGACGAGCTTTGTTGTTTCCAGAGAACGAGCGAGACAGGAGGTCGTTGGAGGACCTGCCGCAGCTTACATTAAAAACATGTAAAAATAAAACGTGCACAAAATCTTTAAAAACATTCGTATAGTCGGACTGGATGCAAACATAAAAACTGATTCATACAAATAAGAAAAAAGATTATCAGTATCTTTGAAACTCTCCTTTGTTTTACATGATTTTTAAAATAAAACGTGTCTTAAGGTAAATTAATGTCTTAATAATGGAAGAATTATTTATTATGAAGTTGGATATGAATTCATGTAAGTCGGGGCCTTCAGCACCTTCAGAGAAGGCCTAAGAATTCAGCACGAGAAATATTTCATTAAAACTTTTATTTGTGCTTTTTACATTTTCTAAATTCTCTTCTTTTTCCATAAATACTTCAAAAGTTCAGCAAGAAACTAATTACTTAATGAAAACACAGTCATCCAATCAGATTATTTTAAATTCATGTCTCCGGGCGGACACGTGTTTGAAGGTTGTTCCTGATTGGTCAGGACTTCACTGTCGGCAGAGAAGGCTCAGCTCAGACAAAGTCTCTGCACGAGGAGTTTAGTTAGTTTTCCTGTCAGTTATTAACCAATCACAATGCTGATTTAGAGTGGGCGGGACCTAAATACTGGGCTCTGAGCCTTCGGGAAGGCCTTTGACCACATGAAGATTTGTGATGCATTCAGATGCAACCTGTAAATTAAAAAATCCACACTGAAACTGTAGCTTGTCTTTAAAAAATGAAGGTTAAATATTCCTTGTAGGTTTCCACAGATGATTTTTAAAGTTCCGGTTGTATTTTGGTTTCATTAAACAATGACGTTTTACAGAAGGTTTAGATTTATTCTCGTATGCAGGTCAACACAAGGTCAACAGGGTAATGACATGCTCAGAACAAGAAGAACCATCTCAGCTCACCAAAAAACAAACCAAAAACCAAGAAAAGCATGCTACGAAAAATACAAAACAAAGCACCAAAAGTGAAAAAGAAATACATCTAAAGCAGCATGGTACTGTTAGCAGCGTAGTCTTGTTAGCAGCATGGTTCTGTTAGCAGCGTAGTCTTGTTAGCAGCATGGTTTTGTTAGCAGCATGGTTCTGTTAGCAGCATGGTCCTGTTAGCAGCATGGTCCTGTTAGCAGCATGGTCCTGTTAGTAGCATGGTTCTGTTAGTAGCATGGTTCTGTTAGCAGCGTGGTCCTGTTAGCAGCGTGGTCCTGTTAGCAGCGTGGTCCTGTTAGCAGCGTGGTCCTGTTAGCAGCATGGT